GCTGGCGGAGCTCGATGCCATCATGGGCAAGAAGGGCACCAGGATCATCATCTGGAACCTCCGGAAGTAAGGGAAAGTCACTCTTGTACATCTCATCAATTTCACATTTTATTTCAGTGCATGCAAACACAGAAGGATTTGGAATCTTAGAAAGTAAGAGAAATCTAGTCTTACTTTTCACTAATTTCACATTTTCTTTCAGTGTGTGCAAACATAGAAGGATTTGTAATGTTAAAAAGTAAGAGAAACCCAGTCTCTTACTACTCATTAATTTCACATTTTATTTCAGTGTGTGCAAACACAGAAGGATTTGGAATCTTACAAAGTAAGAGAAACCCAGTCCCTTCCCTCTCTTTAATTTCACATTTCCAGTGTTTGCAAGCACAGGATTTGGAGTCTTAAAAAGTAAGAGAAACCCAGTCTTTTACCTCTCACTAATTTCACGTTTTCTTTTAGTGTTTGCAAACACAGAAGCATCTGGAACCTCAGTAAGAGAAATCCAATCTCTTATCTTTCTTTAATTTCACATTTTCTTTCAGTGTGTGCAAACATAAAAGGATTTGGAATCTTAGAAAGTAGGAGAAATCCAGTCTCTTACATCTCATTAATTTCACAGTTTCTTTCAGTGTGTGCAAACACAGAAGCATCTGGAACCACAGTAAGAGAAATCCAGTCTCTTATCTCTCACTAATTTCACATTTTATTTCAGTGTTTCCAAACACAGAAGGATTTGGAATCTCAGAAAGTAAGAGAAACCCAGTCCCTTACCTCTCACTAATTCCACATTTTCTTTCAGTGTTTGCAAACACAGAAGCATCTGGAACCTCAGTAAGAGAAATCCAGTTTCTTATCTTTCTTTAATTTCATATTTTCTTTCAGTGTATGCAAACACAGAAGGATTTGGAATTTTAGAAAGATAAACCCAGTCTCTTACATCTCATCGATTTCACATTTTCTTTCGGTGTGTGCAAACGTGGAAGCATCTGGAACCTCAGAAAGAGAAACCCAATCTCTTACCTCTCATTAATTTAATATTTTCTTTCAGTGTGTGCAAACATGGAAGCATCTGGAACCTCAGTAAGAGAAACCCAGTCTCTTATCTTTCTTTAATTTCATATTTTCTTTTAGTGTATGCGAACATAGAAGGATTTGGAACCTTAGAAAGTAAGAGAAATCCAGTCACTTACATCTCACCAATTTCACATTTTCTTTCAGTGCATGCAAATATAGAAGGATTTGTAATGTTAAAAAGTAAGAGAAACCCAGTCTTTTACCATTCACTAATTTCACATTTTCTTTCAGTGTGTGCAAACATAGAAGGATTTGGAATCTTAGAAAGTAAGAGAAACCCAGTCTCTTATCTCTCACTAATTCCACATTTTCTTTCAGTGTTTGCAAACAAGGAAGCATCTGGAACCTCAGTAAGAGAAACCCAGTCCCTTACCTCTCACTAATTTCATATTTTCTTTCACTATATAAAAACACAGAAGGATTTGGAATCTTAAAAAGAAAGAGAAACCCAGTCTCTTACCTCTCACTAATTTCCCATTTAATATCAGTGTGTGCAAACACAGAAGGCTTTCCAATCTTACAAAGTAAGAGAAATCCAGTCCCTTAACTCTCAATTTCACATTTTCTTTCAGTGTGTGCAAACATAGAAGCATCTGGAATCTTACGAAGTAAGAGAAACCCAGTCTCTTACTACTCATTAATTTCTTATTTTCTTTCACTGTATGCAAACATAGAAGGAATAGGAATGTTAGAAGGTAAAAGAAATCCAGTGTCTTACATCTCATTAATTTCACAATTTCTTTCGGTGTGTGCAAACACTGAAGCATCTGGAACCTCAGTAAGAGAAACCCAGTCTCTTACCACTCACTAATTTCACATTTTCTTTCAGTGTGCAAACATAGAAGAATCTGGAATTTTAGAAAGATAAACCCAGTCTCTTACATCTCATCAAGTTCACATTTTCTTTCAGTGTGTGCAAACACAGAAGGCTTTAGAGCCTTAGAAAGTAAGAGAAACCCAGTCCCTTACCTCTCAATAATTTCACATTTTCAGTGTTGGCAAGCACAGGATTTGGAGTCTTAAAAAGTAAGAGAAATCCAGTCTTTTACCTCTCACTAATTTCACATTTTCTTTCAGTGTGTGCAAACATAGAAGAATCTGGAACCTCAGTAAGAGAAATCCAGTCTCTTACCACTCACTAATTTCATATTTTCTTTTAGTGTATGCAAACATAAAAGGATTTGGAATCTTAGAAAGTAGGAGAAACCCAGTCTTTTACATTTCATTAATTTCACATTTTCTTTCAGTGTGCAAACATAGAAGAATTTGGAATTTTAGCAAGCTAAACCCAGTCTCTTACCTCTCATTAATTTCATATTTTCTTTCAGTGTGTGCAAACACAGAAAGATTTCNTCCTTTGAAACGCGGCTGCCCCAAGGCCACCCCGGGCCTTTCCAGGCCATCCAAACAGCCAAAAACCGGACAATGTGTAGAATAGAACAATGTAAGTTTAATAATTAACATGAAAGTTATGTAATGATAGAGTATCAAACATGGTTGGAATCAGATCTGGGTTGGATATACCCCGATTCCCAGAGCTCTTAATAAAAAGCCCCACATATAATTCTGTGATTTTGGACACTGACAGGAATTCTGGGATGTGCAGTGGGAATTTGGGAAGTGAGTGCTGGAATTTCTCTGTTTTGTGTGATTGTGTCCTTAACGAGGCCACGGCAGCTGAGCGAGCCCGGCGAGAGCAGGAGCAGCCTCAGGGCCATCCTGGCCCACTCCCTGTTCCCCAGCGAGGAGAAGCTGCTGGCGGAGCTCGATGCCATCATGGGCAAGAAGGGCACCAGGATCATCATCTGGAACCTCCGGAAGTAAGGGAAAGTCACTCTTGTACATCTCA